AAAAATACTCCAAGACACATCCTGGCCAGAATAATGAAAAACATAAGCAGAGACAAAATTCTGAAATCAGAAAGATTAAAGAAAGAAATTACCTATAAAACGGCATCCTTAAGATTTACAGCGGACTTCTCTGATGAAAGCTCAGGGTTCAAAGAAAGTGGTGGGATATAGTGAAAAAACTCAATAAAATAAGTGCCTCGCCAAAAATATTTTACCCAGCTAGACTCTCATTCGTCTCAGAAGGAACAACACACTTTCACAGAAAAACAACAATTCAGGAACTTCATAGACTCAAAACCATGATTACAAAAACAACTGAATGGGCTACTTTAAGAAAAGTCATACCCCTCAAATACACCAAACTTCAGCAGAAAGGTAGGACAAAAACTCCTTAACAATAATCTTTCTCAACGTCAATGGACTAAAAGCACCAATTGAAAGGCACAGATTGGCAGGATAGATCAGAAAATTGAATCCAACATGCTGCTGCCTGCAAGGAATACATCTGAACAGTCAAAGCAAACACAGATTCAAAGTTAAAGGTTGGAAAACAATTCTATAGGCAAAGAACTCCCTCAAAAAAAGCTGGGGTGGCCATTCTGGTAACAGATCACCTTGATTTCAGACTGATAAAGGTCACAAGAGATAGTGAAGGTCATTTCCTATTGACCAATGGATCTGTACATCTGGAAGAATTCACACTCTTAAATGTATGTATATCTAAAGGGGGACCAACAAAATACTTAAAACAACTTCTCACAGACTTGAAGAATGACATCCTTAGCAACACAATGCTAGTGGGAGATTTCAACACCACTTTATCACCTCTCCATAGATCAACCAGACTCAAGCTTAGCAAGCACATCTTTTATCTGAGGGAAAAATGGATAAAAGGGGATTTCTGAGGACACTTCATCCTCAGAAATCTCAATACTCATTATTCTCAAGTGTGCAAAGTACATTCTCCAAGATAGACCACATGCTGGGCCACAAAACACGCCTCCATAAAATTTAGAAGGTAGAGATTGTATTAATGATCTCAGACCAGATTCCACTGAAAATAGAAGTGTCTCTCAGACACACAAACAGAAAATCAAATCAAACACCTGGAAATTAAACAGCTCACTACTGAACAACGAGTGGCTTAGAAAGGAAACCAAAGAGGAAATCAAAAGATTCCTTGAAACGAAGGAAAATGAGGACATGAGTTACCAGAACTTATAGGACTGACAAAAGTTGTGTTAAGAAGAAAGTTTATAGCTCTACAAGCAAAGCCATCTCTAAAAACCCATGGCAAGCATCATTCTCAATGGCGGGAACTAAAAGTCTTCACTCTGAGATCGGGCACAAAACAAGGTTGCCCGCTTTCACCACTCCTATCCAATAGAGTACTGGATTGCAATTAGGCAAGAGAAAGGTATCCAGAGCTTAGAGACAGGAAAGGAAGAGGTCAAGCTATCACTATTTACAGATGATATGATACTATACTTAGAAAACCCTAACGACTCTACAGAAAAGTCCTAGAAACAATAAGTTGGTTTAATAAAGTAGTAGGCTACAAAATTTACTTTTGATTTCAGACTGATAAAGGTCACAAGAGATAGTGAAGGTCATTTCCTATTGACCAATGGATCTGTACATCTGGAAGAATTCACACTCTTAAATGTATGTATATCTAATGGGGGACCAACAAAATACTTAAAACAACTTCATGGTTCATGGTTTTCCTATATACAAATAGTAAAAGAGAAGCAAAAGATATTGAAAAAACAGTCCTGTTCACAATAATACCACAGAAAATCAAGTACTTCAAAATCAGCTTAACTAAAGAGGTGAAGGACATATAGAAGTAAAATGACAAAACAACACTTCAAGAAATAAAAGATGACACCAAGAAATGGAGTCACATCCCCTGATCATGGATAGGGAGGATTAGAATTGTAAAAATGGCAATACTCCCCAAAGCACTATACAGATTTAATGTGGTCCCTATCAGGATACCCATGACAGTTTTCAAAGAAATAGACAAAACACTCCTGAAATTCATATGGGACAATAACCCCCATAAATAACTAAGGCAATCTGTGGAAAAATAAAGATGGGTGGCATCACCTTCCCCAACTTCAAACTATACTACAAAGTAATAGTAATTAAAACATCATGATATTGGGCTGTGTTTGGCATATCGAATACGTCACGGGTAGCTTGCCAGGCTCTGCCGTGCGGCTGAGATACTCTCGGTAGCTTGCCGGGCTCTCCGAGAGTGGAGGAGGAAGAAGAGTTGTTACTGGGCCCGCTCGAGCAAATCGATGATCAACGGGAGGACCGTGACCGTGACCTTGATATTGGGCTAAAAAGAGATCAGCAGAACAATGGAATAGATTTGACTATTCTGTCACACAATCTCAAATACACATGATAACTTGATATTGGACAAAGAAGCAAGAAATGTGAAGTGGAACAAGGAAAGCCTCTTCAACAAGTGTTGCTGGGAAAACTGGATAGCCACCTGCAAAAAAATGAATTCTGACTTCTGTCTAACTCCAGGTACAAATGTTAGATCAAATTGGGTTAAAGGAGACTTGAGTGATAGTATAGTGGGTACAGCATTGGCCTTACTCGCAGCTGGCCCAGGTTTGATTCCCAGCATCCCATAAGGTTCTACAAGCACTGCTAGGAGTAATTCCTGAGAGTGAAGCCAGAAGTAACCCCTGTGCATCGCTGGGTATGACACAAAAGCAAAAACATAAATAAAAGTGGATTAAAGACCTCAATATCAGACATGAATCCATAAGGTTCATAGAGCAAATTGTAGGCAGAACCTTCCATGATATTGAAGCTAAAGGCATATTTAAGCATGAAATACCACTGACCAAGCAAGTGGAGACAAACATAAATGTGACTACATCAAACTAAGAAGCTTCTGCACTTCAAAAGAAACAGTGACCAAAAGACAGAGAGAGTCCAGATATGTGAAAGAATATTTACACAATACCCACCTGATAAGGAATTAATATAAATATAATTAATATTATTAATATTAAATAAAAAAACAAACACTCTCCTCCCATTGTTCATCGATTTGCTCGAGCTAGCCCAGTAACGTCTCCATTTTGTTGTTACTGTGTTTGGCATATTGAATACGTCACAGATAACTTGCAAGGCTTTGCCGTGTGGGCAAGATACTCTTGGTAGTTTGCAGGGCTCTCCAAGAGGGGAAGAGGAATCGAACCCGGCTTGGCCGGGCTAGCTGTGTGCAAGGCAAATGCCCTACTGCTGTGCTATATTAAATATTAATATTATTAAGAGATTAATAATTCAGGATTTACAAGACACTAGTAGGATTGTACAAAAAAAAACCCTCCAACCTCATCAAAAAATGGGGAGAAGGAATGAACAGAAGCTTCCTCAAAAAAGAAATACTGATGGCCAAACAGCACATGAAAAAATGCTACACATTACTGATCATCACAGACATGCAAATCAAAACAATAAGATATCATCTCACACCACAGAGGCTGGCGCAAATTCAAAAGAACAAAAGAAACCAGTGTTGGTGTGGATGTCAGAAGAAAGGGATGCTCTTTCACTGTTGGTGGTAATGTCAACTGGTTCAGCCTTTTTGGAAAACAATAAGGATATTCCTTCAAAAACTAGAAATTGAGCTTCCATATGACCCCACAACACCATTTCTGGAAATATATTCCAAGAGTGCAGGAAAGCACAGTAGAAATGTCATATGTGCCTGTATGTTCATTGCAGCACTATTCACAATAGTCAGAATCTGAAAACAATCCAAGTGCTCGGGAACAGACAACTAGTTAAAGAAGCTTTGGTACATCTACACACTGCAGTACTATGCAGCAGTTAGGAAATATGATGTCAAGAAATTTGCTTATAAGTGGATAGACATGGAGAGTATCATGAAAATTGAAATGAGTCGAAAAGAGAGCGACAGACATAGAATGACTGCACTCATTTGTGGAATATAAATAACAAAATATGAAACTGACACCCAAGGACAGTAGATACAAGGGCCAGGAATATTGCTCCATATTTGAAGCCTGCTTCATGAGCTGGGGGAGAAGGCAGTTGGAAAAGAGAAGAGATCACTAAGTCAATGAAGGTTTAGAGATGTGTGCTGAAAATAGATAAAGGACCACATAACTTCTGTGATAGCCTCTCAGTATCTATATTGCAAATCAGAATGCCGAGAAGCACAGAAAGAGATAGTATGGGGAGAAATTGTCTGCCATAGAGGCAGGTGCAAGGTTAGAGAGGAGTGTTAATACTGGGGAAATTGGTGGTGAACCAATTTTCACTGGTAGAGGCTTGGGTGTTTGATAATTGTATGACTTAAACTCAAACATAAAAGTTTTGTAACTATTAAGCACGGTGACTCAATAAAAAATAAAAAGATATGAATAAAATAAAATAAAATCACAAAAAATAGGAGGTACAATCTGACTGAATATTTCTGTGGAGCAGAAACTTACATCTGAGTACATCAAAGATAATGAGTAGATAGATAGATAGATAGATAGATAGATAGATAAAAATATGAAAAATACCACTATGTATAAATTAAACACATTCACACAGCAATAAAGCTCATCATTTACAGGTACATAGAACATGCACTACTAAAATCAATCCTTCTGCAAAAAATCAGGAACGTGTTGTGTGAAAAGCAAAGTTTTGTAAGTCTCAGAACTCAAATGATGCTTTCTAATTCCAGTAAGAATTTTAAATGGCATTTGAAAATATCTTTTATGCCATAAAATCAATCGGGACCTTTATGTGGAATACTTTAATTATTTTATTTTATTTTTCTTTATGTGTGTATAAAGTCAGGGAAGAGGGCAGACACACACCTGACAGTGCTGAGGGTTTACTACTCACTTTGTTCTCAGAGATCACTCTGATATAATGAAGTTATATTTACCTTCTTTTTCAATGTTAAGGCATTATTTTTCAACAGAAACAATTATTAACCTACTTCACAGTTTGCTCATGGCATTTTTTACCTCCTTATTTCTGAAAGCATAAATCAAAGGATTGAGTAATGGAGTTAGGATAGTGCAGAACATCTCCACAATTTTGTCGAAGGAGAAAGCAACTGGAAGCCATGCATACTCAAATATACATGGAGCAAAGAACAAAACCACAACAGTAAAATGAGATCCACAGGTGAAGAGGGATTTTCTTTTTCCTTCAGCACTGTGGTTTCTCAGGGAGAATAAGATGACTGCAGGGGACACAAGCAACATGGAGAAAATCAGGATGCAAAAGAATCCACTGTTGGCCACCACCATAATGGCAAAGGAATAAGTATCAGTGCAGGCAATCTTCAGGACTTGAAACAAGTCACACATAAAGTGATCAATGATATTGGTGCCACAGAAAGGGAGTTGAAAAGTAAAGAGAATTTGTATGATGGAATGCAGAAAGCCCCCTGCCCAGGCTACTGCAATCAAAATGCCACAGAGCCTTGAGTTCATGATAGAAGTGTAGTGCAAGGGTTTGCAGATGGCCACATACCTGTCATAGGCCATGGATATGAGGACAATCACCTCTGCCCCTGCAAAGAAGTGTGCAGAAAAAATCTGCATCATACAACCTCCAAAGGAGATGGTTTTCTTCTCAGAGAGACAGTCTATGAGCATTTTGGGAGCAATACCTGAGTTGAGGCCTGCATCCAACAAAGACAGAAAAACGAGGAAGAAGTACATTGGGGAGCCTAGGAGTGTTGGACTGCTGATGATTGCTGCCACAATCAGCAGGTTGCCACAGATAGTTGCAATATAGACCAACAGAAATATAACAAATACAATTTTTTGAACATCTGGATTCTGTGAAATTCCCAGTAGGACAAACTCAGTGATAAAGCTTTGGTTTTGCATGATTTTCCAGAAAACACTCAGAACTGTCACGCTGACCATCAAAACCTGCAATAAAATGACAAGGTTACATCAGATAAGTTTACTGTCATAGGAACTCACAAGTGTATCCATCCACGTAGTGTTTTCTATTTTGTGCTACTTTGATTTTTGAAATCAGGAAAACAGAATGTTCTCAAAAAACAATAGTATAAGATTGTGGGAAATCACTTACTATTTCACAAAATAGTGCTAAACAGCTTCTCTAGAGGAACAAACCCAAATGTGACAGTATTTGAGAACTATTTTTTTTGAGTTCACAGCCTTGATTACTGTATTATGGTTTCCTAGGGTAAGTTCTTAGAAGTTACTTTAAAGCCATAACTTAGTTCTGTGGAATCAGGACATCAATTTATTTGTTATGTTGGCATCGCCTTGTAATAATAGATTTACAGATGCAAGATATCCCTGATCAGAAGAATGTCTTATCCATAAGTGGAAAAAAATTTCAGTGGTACTTTAAAATCACAGCTCTTCCCTAACAATTCCTGGATTAGTCTTGAGTGATAGGACCTTTAAAATAAATTTGCCTGTCCATATAAAAGGAAACTCTATTAAAAATCTTGAGTTCTACAAATATAGAAAGCACTTATAAAAACAGGTTAAAACAGCCAGAAGTCATACCCTGGCTTATGCAGGCAACCAGGAACCCATCCTTCTTCAAGGCTGTTATATAATGCACAGTACAAAGCAATAGCCCTGCTGGGATCCACACAACCCACAGTAGCTTCCTAAGCTTTAGGATAGAATTGGTTTGTCCTTTCAGCCTTGCCACATGGAACTTAGGTTTATCGAGTTACACTCATCACAGTGCTCCTAAGTCACTCCCATTCCACTGCTTATCTGTAAACTCTTCTCTGTGCTCTCCTCCCCAACCAGTTAATCCCTTTTTTTCCTAATCAGATTCTGTTAACTTGTAAATTCAGATCCTTCTAAGGATACTGAACTTGTAAGTTATCTCTTTTGCATAGTCTAACTTAAAGCAATGTCCTTTTTGTATGGACACAGGAAGACAGTTAATATTATGCTTTTTTAACTTGGTAGTTAATTGATTCCGAATAATATTCACTCCTGGACATCTGCTTTCTCGATTCAAATGCCGTTAATTCCTAGCACCCCAAAAACATCCCAACAAGGGACTGAATGGACCCAGGGCCAGCTGTGAGCTACCCTGGCATCGAAATGGGCTAGGCCAAGTGCCATAAAACTTAACTATAAGTTAAGAGCATGGTCATGGACAAACACTGTCACGACCCAAATGAGGTAACTGGAAAAGGATCCTGCTGGGGTTAGGAAGACTAACCTGGCCTGAGGACTGAGGTCTGGAATATAGTGAGATGTCCTCAGGAAGAACCAAACTTTAAGCTTGATATATCTCTTACTGTGCTCATACAGAATGGCATTGCTAGAAATATTAGAAGTAAATTTGCTAAGTCTCATTAAGTGAATTACTAGCTGAGGGAAGAAGAAAGCAACACACCCTGGATGGAATCCCACTCTTGAGCAGATCTCCTAGTAATCTGGATTAATATCCTTAGATGAGATCTTGTCCTTGAATTAATCTCCTGGAGGAGTGGCCTTACCTCTCTTTGTTGATTTGTTTATGTTCAACCCTACTATTTTATCCCCACCCTACATGATTGATATATAAACTAAGACTGTAAGATTGGGAAAAAGCAGTGGAGAGTCAGGGAGTCCTTGGAGCTAGAAGCAGTCGGAGCCAGAACCAAGGGGATGAGAGAGCCAGAAGTAGAGAGAATCAGAGTCAGAGTCAGAATGGAGTTGTAGTCAGAAGCGAGAGGGAATCAACACTGAGAAGCAGAATGGGATTCAGAGAGACAGAGTCAGAGGGGATCCAGAGAGGGAGAAGCAAAGGAGAGTCAGAGAGTCAGAAGGAGAGATGTTTACAGAGACAGCAGAGAGACAGCAGAGAGAGAGGGAGAAAGAGAGAGAAAGAAAGAGAGAGAGAGAGAGAGAGGAATTGCGTGGTTAGACAGAGACATCAAGACATCAGAGATATCAATTATAAATCTATGTACCACTAGAGGAAGGCATTTATTCAATTCATGCTTATCCTGGAAGATTTTCTAAATTTGGCTACATTCAAAACCATGTTTGTAATGAGCATGGAATGCCTTCCAGATAACTTAGAGATTCCTAAGGCCATGATCTCTGGAATCTGCTTTTCATTTTTCCCCTTTTGGAGAGTGGGGAACATCCAGAGATACTCAGGAGTTATTCCTGACTCTGCACTGGATATTACTCCCGGTGGTGCTCTGGGAACATGTGGCATAGAGGGGATGAAAACCAAGTCACAGTGTGCAAGCCTAGCTCCTTATCAGCTGTACTATCAATAAGGCCCACACTGACTTTTTCTTAAGGTTATGAAATTGGAGAGTTTGCTTCCCTAGTAGTTTCATAATTTATTTTCTATTTTTCCAAATTTTTTTTCCTGAATTCAAATCTCTAAAATAATACAAAATAATGTATCAATTTTTAGTATATAATATATTCAGCACTAGATAAAATATTAGAGTTTCATTGGAATCAACTTACTTCAATTATATATCAAACAATAAAAATTAAGTATATTTACATCTATTGATACACATGTATAATTCATATTATAAGGGTATATTTAAAATAATAGAGTTGAAAACTCTTAATGTTCAATTAACTCCACCCCAAATGTTTCATAAATATATTGCATTTTAATAGAGTTATATAACTTGATTCAAAAAAATTTTACGTCTAAGTAGACTTATGAATTTATCATTGACTTATGCATCATAGACTTATGATCATCTTAGAATTCTATTCTCTTGAGATTTCATACTATTTTTTTTCTTAGGATATAGTTTTCTAATTTACCTTCATATTTCAAAGATTATGTTCTAAGTCCTAATTTTTAATTTGAATTTTTTCCTTAAAATCAAAGTATAATTATGAATATTACCATGTTTCAGTGTATTGAATATTCCTGGCAATCTCTAATTTTCCATGAACTGACCAACAAGTGATTGTTGGGTCCACATCTTATTTCTTCATCAGAGAGACAGAAGAAGAGCAACTCTAGTTGAAGATGCAAATAACGTGCTTTACTTCTTGGGTAGCACTGTGTTAAATATGGTTTAGGGAAGGAGGGAATTAGAAATCAAAGATTCCTTTTTGGTTGATTTCCCACTGGAATTGAGGGATGTTTGCCTGAGATATCATGAATCTATAGAACTGCATCTCAATTGTCCCCAACGTTGGGAATTTCCCATCTGTATGATTTTGAAAACTTTTACCTGTTTTGGTTTTTTTAAGTGTTGGCAAGATCTTATGTCCCTGAGCAATTACATATTTATATCATATGTATATTGTGCTTCAGTTTCTTTTTGAAGATGCTTTTATTACCTTCAGAAATAAAATATCAGGCATACCTAGATGTAATATAGTTTATGTGGTAAAAGATAAAACTTCTATTTGCTTATTGAAAAAGTAGGGCAGAATTCTGAGATAAGGTTCTATAATCAATCTGTTAGTGTAATATAGTTTTCAGTGTGATATTCATGTTCATTTTATAATAATAAAAGCCAGAAATTTTATAAGGAGTATACATTAAAATTAATAACCTCTATTATTCTCGGTTCCTGATCTGCAGTGCTGCAGAACTTCAAAGATAATATATGCTTTTTAGACAATGAAACATTTTTCACTTTCAATGCTTTATAAAGCATGTTATCTGGTATTTATACCCAGTTGTTCCCAGTTCGTGGTCATTCTGGGAGTTCTCTTTTTGAACTTTGCAGCCCTTTCTCCCCACTCTGTGAAATAGAATTTTGCATGAAGGAGACGGTGGTCCGATCCCGTTCGAAATTTTGGGACAACAGCGACATCAGTCAGGCAAAACCGTCGATTGAATATGATGTGGTCTATTTCGTTGTGGAATCGTCCACCAGGAGACTCCCATGTCCATCGTTTAGATTCTGCCTTCTGGAACTGTGAGTTACCATGAATGGTCTTGGTCGACATGATGAACTCAGACAGTCTCTCACCCTGTTCGTTCCATTCTAGACCATGGGTCCCGATGTGAAGTTCTTCAGCTGATCTTCTTGGTCCTATCTTGGCATTAAAATCACCCACAAGGTTCTTGTAGAAGGCGTGTTCTTCTTTATAGAACTTCTCTAGCTCCATGTAGAACTTCTCGATTTCTCTTTCATCATAATGAGATGTTGGTGCGTAGACAACGAAGATAGAAACTGCAGGCAGCGAGCCACATCTATTCAAATGTAAACGTCCGATTCGGGTTGTTAGGCATTCGAACGAATCAATGATCTTGGCCAAGTTTGTGTTGACAAGGACACCGATGCCTCCGACACCTCTTTTATCGCATGTTCCGAGGAACAATTCTTCTCCAGTGTCGAAAACGGCATGGTGAGATCCGTGCCTTCTTGTCTCAGTCAGACCAATGATGTCGTACTTGATCATCCACGCTTGTACCATCAGGTCCTCGATGGATGCATCTGATGCTAGCATACGTGCATTGAAAGTACAGACGATCATTTTTGTCTTCCTTCGTTGTGGCAGCTTAGGTCGGCCTTGAGATTTTGTCGGCCTCTCCTTTCTCATCCTTCTCAGTGCTGCCATGTCGGTGAAGCCTTCAGGGTCAGGCGAATGAGACCAGTTGTAGTTACTGGTTTTGGCATATCGAATACAAAACGGATAGCTTGCCAGGCTCTTCCGTGTTGGCAGAATACTCTCGGTAGCTTGACAGTCTTTCTGAGAGGGATAGAGGCTTTTGGGGTGACCTCTAATCACCCTTGTAGGTGTTACCATATTTGAACCTATCAAATATGGTATGACAATTCAGGAAGATGGGTATTTAGTGTTTTATGATGTGTCCGGAAAGCGTCCTGTAGAGTGGTGACGGCTGGGTAGTGGAAGTAGTGTTGATAGTGGAAGTCTGCCAGTGGGGTATTTATCTGGGTAGGGTGGGTCTCCTGGGCGCAATTTGATCC